TAATAATAATAATAATAATAATAATAATAATAATAATAATAATAATATAGGAAATACTCTAAATGCTCTGATGGTCATTTTGAAAAATCCTTTCTTAGTGAGCCCCTAGAAGCCAGGAGGAACCTATGGGTCAAATTTCAAGTTTGTAGGCTTTACGGTTCTGGAGATTTTGTGATGATGCGTGAGGGGTCTTTTGCTTTTAGATAGATAGATAGAAGAAGATGCATGGAAATTTGTCAAAAGGAGGAAGAACCTCACACTCCTCCCCCAAATAACTAGGAGGAGGGGCTTCTTCTGAACGACCCTGGTGCTAAATACATTAGATGTTGAAAGACTTCAGGTGATTAAGTCATGGTGGCGGTGTTGATAGCTCCTTAACAAGATCATCAGGCCTGTATTCCAAGGATTACACTTCCAAAATCACCTGAATGTCTTAAGTTCGGCAGTGACATAATTGATCTCCACTCATGCCCAACTCCCAGGAAGTTTCACAAGTTACACCCAATACACAAAATGAATGAGTCATGGTCTAAGACAGTGGTTTTTTCAAACTTGGTAACTTTAGGAGGTATGGATATCAAGGCCCAGAATAAATTCCTGGAATTTTTCAGCTCTGGGAGTTGAAGTCCACACATCTTAAAGGGGTCAAGTTTGAAATACGCTGGTCTAAGACATCAGGAAAAAAGCTACTGTTGTTTCTTAAACCGTGCTTCTAAATGTTGATGTACTTGACAGAACCTATCATTGATTATTAACGCTAAAAGTTTTTTTTCCTCCTAGAGATGCATTTGTTTAATAAATCACAGTAACTCTGATACATTTTACATGGGTTACCTTTAAACTTCTACAGTCTGTATAATGACAGTATCCAAATTCAGTAAAGGAGTTTGCAACAATCAGCTCTTTCACAGAGATAATCGTCAAATTAACACTCCTGTTGTTCATGTCTCGGTTGTTTTTTTTTCCAGGATGGCACTGGAAAAAATTAACGATAAACATCTCCTCTATATTTACTTAGAAGTAAATCCTATATCAAATCTAGACAGCCTACTCAAAAGCAGAGACATCCCCCTGCCAACGAAAGCGTGTAGAGTCAAGGCTCTGGTTTTCCCAGTCGCAACGTAGGGCTGTGAAAGTTGGAAGTCTGAGCGCCAAAGAATGGAGGCCTTTGAACTCGGGTGCTGGAGGTGACTCCTGCGAGTCCCTTGGACTGCAAGGCCATCCAAACGGTCAGTCCTACAGGAGATCAGCCCTGACTGCTCTTTCGAAGGCCAGATCCTGAAGATGAAACTTTGACCACCTGATGAGAAGGAAGAAGGGCTCCCTGGAGAAGAGCCTCGTGCTGGGAATGATGGAGGGCCAAAGAAGAAGAAGAAGGGGATGGCAGAGAAGGAGGGGGATGGATGGAGTCCCTGAAGCTGTCGGCGTGAGCTTAACTGGACTCCAAAAGGTGGTAGAGGACAGGAAGGCCTGGAGGAACGTTGTCCATGGGATCGCAATGGGTCGGACACGACTTTGCAACTAAGAACAACAAGAAAGTCACCTGTCCAAAGCAAACATCCTCTTCAGATCAGCCCTCAGAATTAAATAAAGCTGCAAAGAATATTAACCTTAACTGTGATAGCTATAAACTGGCATCCAGACATTTTGAGTTAAATTATGAAATTTCCAGCAGGGGAAACCCCCTCCTCAAATAATAACAATAACAATAATAATTCTGGAATAAGTGAAAACTTTTGGATCTACAAAAGGTGAAAGATTAAAATGACCCGAAGGAAGGAATTGGAACATATGTCACACTTGTTGCAAAGATGTTCCTGGGTTAATAATAATCTTAGAAGGGTGATTTGATAGGATGGCACTGGAAAAAAATTAACAATAAACACCTCTATATTTACTTAGGAGTAAATTCTATAATGTGGCTTCCTTCCAAAGAGTTGAACACTGAATCCGCAATGCAGGACTGTGCAACTTTTGGGAATATTTTGTCTCCTATTCATTGAACTTTCATCCACAGAGGCACAGCGCTAACATTTTCTGCAGATTCATTGCTGAAGCAGATTTTTAAAAAACGACAGAAGTAAAACAGAGGTCTTTCTTATTCTCCCTACAGCTTTGGGGGTCCTGCAGGGTTGACTTCGCTGTGCCATTGTTAATTGTTTCGCTCTTCCGTGGTGGAACGAGAAATGGGATAGGAGCCCAGCATAAAAGGGGGGCTTTCTCCCCAGCTTGGATAATGGATCCGGAGGGTCGCACTTCAGAGAATCAATTCACTCCTGTCCTTCAAAAAAATAAAATAAGGGCTGCCTCCGTTGCCAAAACATAAGTTGCTTCCTGCTTTCGCCATTTATCTTCCCCTGACAAGGAATCTCCTGGGCTAAGAGGAGAGAGGTTCCCTGCCACGTGTGGACTCTACCTCCAGAAGGGAAGGCCTTTGACTTGGGTTGAAACGACAAAGGAAAAGCGTTCTGAGAATGAATAATAAGAAAGAAAGAAAGAAAGAAAGAAAGAAAGAAAGAAAGAAAGAAAG